CTTCACGTTCAGAAAGTAGCTTCAAAAAGATGAAAGAATTTTCAAAACAGATGTTGTTTAACTTGAGTATATCCAGAATATTTCAACTGTGATCAGTGTTTTATAGCTGACACACTTCATTTTTCTTACACTGAGTCATAAAATTGTGTTCATTTTACAACTTGAGCATATTTCAGGTAAGAATAATCCACGTAAAGTGCTCAGTCTATCCAGAGCAAATGGCTGTCACACTGGCAAGTGTGGTCTGCTCCCCTTGCTGCCCACCAAACGCCGTCCACGCGTCTGTACTTTGACATGTTATCCCTTAGAAAACGCATACTTTCTTCTAAGCCTTTGACAAATGAATGATCAATATGAGTTCATCTTTGCCTTTTCATTTTCTCTTTCTCCCTTCCTTCCTTCCTTCCTTCCTTCCTTCCTTCCTTCCTTCCTTCCTTCCTTCCTTCCTTCCTTCCTTCCTTCCTTCCTTCCTTCCTTCCTTCCTTCCTCCTTCCTTCCTTTCTTTCTTTCTTTCCCCCCTCCCTCCCTCCCTCCTCCCTCCCTCCCTTCTCTTTTTTTCTCTCTCTCTCCTCCCTCCCTCTCTCTTTCTCCCTCTCTCTGTCTCCCTTTCTCTTTCTCTCTTTCTCTTTCTTTCCCTCCCTCCCTCCCTCCCTCCCTCCCTTCCTTCCTTCCTTCCTTCCTTTTTCTTCTTTCATTGATTGTGAGGCTTGAACTCTGGGCCTGGGCACTGTCCCTCAGCTCTTCAGCTCAAGGCTAGCGCTTTACCACTTGAGCCACAGTGCTATTTCCTGTTTTCTGGAGATGAGAGTTTCACGGATTTTCCTGCCGGGGCTGGCTTTGAACCATGATCTTCAGCTCTCAGCCTCCTGAGTAGTTAGGATTATACAGGTGACCTACCAGCACCCAGCCTCACCTTTTCATTTTATAAGGGAGAATTATATGCCAGCATAAATGAGTATAGGTATAATAAAGTATCACTAGTGTTCTAAAGTAGAATTATAAAATTCATGTACTAAAGTGTCATTAAAGTGCTAGCAGTATAAATGAGTATCCATGTTCTAAAGTATCATTAGAGTACTAAAGTAGGATTCTTAAAGTAGAAGTAGTGTACTAAAATAGTTTTCTAAAATTAGTGTACTAAAGAATTATGTAACACTAAAATTAGTATGCTAAAGTAGAATTAGATAATAGTGTAAATGAATATTGGTATACCCAAATATCATTCTTGTACTAAAGTTTGGAAGGGTGAAATTGTAGTGAAAACAAGGAATCACATCAGGAGATAATCTGCGGATGGGCTGCAAGTGTCTGACATGGGGGTGAGTGAGGAAGAAACTGTGTTAAGAATGCTAATATAAAACAGTGAGGAAAAATAGTCTCGAGTGCCAATATAAAACAGTGAGGAAAAAGTCTCACTGATGGTTCTGGGATAGCCAGTTAAGCACACATAAAATTATGAATTTGAATCCCCTACATCTCATACAAAAGAAACTTCAAATGAATCGGACCTAAAGCTGGACACTGGTGCCTTAACACTTGAAATCCTAGCTACTGAACCTGTGGGTTCAGGCCAGACTGGGCAGAAAAATTCATGAGTCCCCATCTGGCCCCAGAGTTGAGTGTAGTGGCACGAGCCTCTATCATCTTAGTCGTGATGCAAATCCTCAAATAGGCATGTTGGTGGAACAGGCATGCACTTAAACAGGAAGCATGACCCGACCCTCTTTGAAAAATAGCCAGCACAGCCGGGTGCCAGTGGCTCATGCCTATAATCCTAGCTACTCAGGAGGCTGAGATCTGAGGATCAGGGTTCAAAGTCAGCCCGGGCAGGAAAGTCCGTGAGACTCATATCTCCAAGAAACCACTAGAAAACCAGAAGTAGTGCTGAGGCTCAGGCGGTAGAGCACTCACCTTGAGCTGAAGAGCGCAGGGACAGCGCCCAGGCCCAGAGTTCAAACCCTATGACTGACCAAAAAAGAAAAAATAGCCAGCACACAGATGGGTGCCTGTGACTCCAGTAATCCTAGCCACACAAGAGGCTGAGATCCCAGGATCACAGTTGAAAGCCCAACCTAAGCAGAAAAACCCATGAGCTCTTGATCGCCAGTTAACCAGCATGGCTTAAGTTGTACAGTGCCAGCTTTGAATGGGAAAACTAAGAGAGCGCACTCTGACCCTGAGTTCAAGCCCCAGAAGTGGTATATGCATGTGTGCACACACAAATGTGCACATGCACACACACACACACAAACTCAGACCTAAATTTCACAACTAAAACACATTGTTTAAAAAATTGACTTTGATGTTTATTGGCTTTGATGTTAGAATCCTAAGTAACAAAACAAAGTCGTAATTTGGACCTCATTAAGTTTGGAAACTTTTGTGCTTCAGAGGACACTGTTAAGAAAATGAGAATATGAGAGACAAATACTTATAAATTACATATATATATACATATATATACATGTATATATATATATGAGTTTCCAGAATTTATAAACAATTTTTTTTCTTTTGCCTATACTGGACTTGAACTCAGGGCCTTGTGCTTGCTTGCTCATGGCTGGTGCTATATACCACTTGAGCCATGCCTCCAGCCCCATGTTTTGCTGGTTGATTGGAGATGAAGTTTCATAGACTTTTCTGTTAACTTCAAACCAGTCTCAGGCATTTTAGGTGTGTACCACGTAGATCTAAATGAGATCTAGCTGGCTGTTGCTTGGGCTAGCCCTAGACCTCGATCCTCTTATCTCTGCCCAGGGAGCTATCATTGTGTAGCCCTTCTCTTAGAAGTGAGTATGGATAGCTGAGCTTGGTGTTGTACCCAAAACATGAGAAGTATGTCTTTTTGAAGGACAGTTGAAATGTGCAGTCTTAAAACTTCATCAGTAAACTTTGTACTGTTACATGAATATCTATTTACCTATTTTTGTATCATGGGTATTTATCCATCCATGCATGGTTTTCTTTTTTTTTAAAACACCGTACAGAGCAGTTACAATTACATGGGCAAAATAACAAGTACATTTCTTAACAAGCATTGTTGCCTCCTCTTTGTTTCCCCTTCCCATCCCTTCCCCTACTTCCCCCATCCGATACTCTTCCCCCCGCCCACCAAAGTTGTAAAGTTTGTTTTTCGACATAACGACTTGTACATCTTATTGTTGCAATGGGTCCACCTGTATCCCTATTTAAACGATTTGTTTTTTCCCTACCCCTCCACAAATTATACCAACATCAAATACAGTGAAAGCAGGGCTTATACCATGGGGGAGGGACATACAAAGCAACATAGAAATCATCTTATAAATATGTTAGAAACAATTGCATGAAAGAAAAAAACCCATTTGAATACTTACCTTGGGGTTCATTCCCCTAACATCATCTTATCTGACCTTTTCTGCTTGACTCAGACATATACTAGTTATCCAGGCATGGTTTTCTAACATGCTTTAGTCTTTTGAAAGTCTGGTTGCTAGAGGTAGGCAAATATTTTAAATGTTGCTATATTTTACTAAACATATATTATTTAAATCTCACTTTTTTTATCAACATCAATCCCATCAGAAAAGTCTGAGAGACTGTTGAGCTCATGGTAGCAGATATACATTTTCTGTATTTTAGTTTTATTTTGAAGTTAAATTTTAATTATTGGCAACAGATACTGTCAGTGTTTTTTTTCTTGAAATGTTCATTTTGGAGAAAAATGTTACATTAAATATTTGGGTTGGAATAACTACACCCCACACACCTATCCTGGTCATGGGGCTTGAACTCAGGGCTTGGGCGCTGTCCCTGAACTCTTTTGCTCAATTAGCACTGTACCACTTTGAGCCACAGCACCTCTGGTGGTTAATTAGAGATATGAGTCTTACAAGAACTTTCCTGCCTGGGCTGCACTGCATGTATATACCACCTTTCACTCCTTCATTCATCAGCTGACTGGCACTTGGATTGTTTCTACTTTTGGCTATTATGAATGATTCTGCTGTGCATATTTATGTATGTCTTTGTATAGACATGTTTTCATTTCTTTCATTTTCAGAGGTGTTTATTCTTTTTTTTAATTTAATTTTATTTTATTTGTGAACATACGGTACAGAGGGGTTACAATTACATGGGCAGGATAATGCGTACATTTCTTACCAAGCATTGCAGCCTCCTCCTTTGTTTACCCTTCACATCCCTTCCCATCCTCCCCCCTCCCCCCCAAACTTTTTTTTTTTCCCTTGGGTCTGGTCGTGGGGCTTGAACTCTGGGCCTGGGTGCTGTCCCTCAGCTCTTCAGCTCAAGGCTAGTGCTCTACCACTTGAGCCACAGCACTGGTGTTTATTCTTTTTACAGAAGAAGGTTTGTTGTTACTGATTCCTTTTTCCTTTGCCACTTAACTAAGTATTGGGTTGGAAGGGGAAGTCAGGGACTCTGACCTGTTTATGGTTTTTTTCTTTTTAGGACTGAACAGCTTAGGAAAGGAGGAGTTGTTTTTATGCTCATCTGGTTTGAATTGTCAACATGTTAATATAGTACAACTCTATACAAAAACATACTCTTCTTGTTTAATGATTAAAGTTATTTTAGTTCTTAAAGACCATTTGTATAATTTGCAAGTTTTAATGTTATATCTGATAACAGCTTTTTGCTGGGATTAGGATCTGAACTCAGGGCCTAGTTCTCTTGGTTAGCTTTATTGCTCACAATTAGTCCTCTGCCACTTTATACCTCTAACCCAGATAGAGATGTTGGAGATGGAGTCTCAGGGACTTGTGTTCAGGATGGCTTTGTGCGGTGATGCCCCCAAATCTCAGACTCAATAGCAAGGATTATGGGTGTGAGTCCAGCTAGAGCATTCATTCTTACAGGATAGGTAATACTTATGACTGTATAAGTGTGGGTGGATCGTATAGATTGAATAAGGTTTTAATTTGTATAGTTGGACTTCTCCAGATAGTAGTAGATGCTACACTAAGCAACTATGCTCTTCATATCTGTCTTTACTCTAGGCTCCTGGATTTGGATTTGGAATTGCAATATCTGGTGGAAGAGATAATCCTCATTTTCAGAGTGGGGAAACCTCCATTGTAATTTCAGATGTGCTCAAAGGAGGACCAGCAGAAGGACAGCTGCAGTAAGTGTATTTCTCTCAGTGCCTGCCTGTGTGGCCGACATTGTTTATTTCCTGTCACTGGCCCGCTTTGTTAATGATTTTGCTGTATGCACACTCCATCTGTGCCTTGGCTTGTTTAATAATTTTTCTTTTGTCAGAATACATTTATACCTACTTAAGATAGAAGGTTTGTTGTTGCTCTTAATGGAAAGTTAGTATCACTTAAATATAAATGCAAACTATTTTATATTTTTGTCAGTCATGGGCTTTTGAACTCTGGGCTTGGGCATTGTCCCTGCACTCTTCAGTTCAAGGTGAATGCTCCACAGCTTGAGACACTGTGCCATTTCCAGTTTTCTGGTGGTTAATTGGAGATAAGAGTCTCATGGACTTTCCTGCCCAGGCTGGCTTTGAACAGTGATCCTCAGATCTCAGCTTCCTGAGTAGCTAGGATTATAAACATGAGCCACTGGTGCCTGGCAAATGCAAATTTTTCAAATAAAATTTTCAAGTACTGAAAAGAAAACAAACCCCAAATACTTAGAACTCAGTTAAGATAGATGTAACTAGCTTTTAGGAGTCTTGCCCCATCTTGCCCTTTTTTTGTGATAAGAAAATTTCCAAGATAAAGAGAAGCAAAAGGTATGCTAGGAAAGAAATGAGACATAATCAGAAGGATTGAAAAGGCTTTTTATAAAAAGGATAATGTAATAACTATAACTGATGACAGTATCCTCAAACCTTGTGTAATTTCACTTATCAATCAACATTTTGTGTACTGTGGTACCTAGTCAGTCCTTTGGGAAAACATTTTGCTGATGGACCTGTAATTGCTACTGGCTAATGTTCTTGTGAACTTTCTTTCTGACAAAAAATAGTTTAACACTATTTGATCATTGCTCTGGGGACAAATGGAGTGATTAGGCCATACTACAAAAATATTTCATAGGGGTGCTTCACTAACTTACATTTATTTTTTTTTCTCTAACATGTTACTTTGGTGACTTGTCCTCTTTAGGGAAAATGACCGAGTTGCAATGGTTAATGGAGTTTCAATGGATAATGTTGAACATGCTTTTGCTGTTCAGCAACTAAGGAAAAGTGGGAAAAATGCAAAAATTGTAAGTATATTTTATCTTTTGTTTAGTAGAAATTCTTCTAAGAAAATGAAATCTGAAATACTAGTTCCCAAAGTAGTAGCTTAGTGTTATTTATAAGACTTAGAAACTGGTTTGTGTATTTTCTGAGTTCAGATAGTGGGGATCTTTTTTTCCCCCCAGTTAAAAGGAAGATGGAGTGATTGGACAGTTTTTCATGTCTCAAATGTTTCCTTCTTCCCAGTACTTGTTAGACCACTCCTAGCAAATAGCCAGTTTTGAAGTATGTAGTACTATTTCCTGGAATAAGATTTATTTGCTGGGAAAGTTTTACATTGTTCTCTAAACCCACATCACCTCCTGCTTTGATTTTGTTTGTTTATGTGAGGAATTGAACCCAGGATTCTTATGCATGCTGGGCAAGCACTCCACCACTCTCCCCGCCCTGACCTCCTGCTTTGAAAAGAGAGAAAATCTTTTTTTTTTTTTTTTTTTAATTTTATTTTTGGGTCCGGTTGTGGGGCCTGAACTCTGGGCCTGGGCGCTGTCCCTCAGCTCTTCAGCTCAAGGCTAGCGCTCTACCACTTGAGCCACAGTGCCACTTCCGGCTTTTTTCATTTTGCTTATGTGGTGCTGAGGAATCGAACCCAGGGCCTCAGGCATGCAAGGCAGGCCCTCTACCACTGAGCCATCTTCCCAGCCCAAGAGAGAAAATCTTAAGTTTTTCTTTGATGATTTGTCCAGGTGCATTTTGTTACTGTCTTAATGGCTAGAATCTTTATTCTGTTTTGCATTTCTCTAAAAAAGCTACTCTTACTAAGTAAGGGAAAAAGAATTCCATAAACCCTGCATAAGCATACTCAGGTCACAGTTAAAACTTGGCACATTGAATGTAGAAGTCTCATTTAAACACCTAGGATCATAGGAACCGCTCACTGACTTTGTTACGCACTTGTGTTGTCCCACTTCTGAAGGACTAAAGAGCATCCTGCTCTGAAGCTTAGTGCGTGGAGCAGAAGGGAGAGGCAGAGTGAGTGGCCAGTTATCTGTCCTGGTTGGTCCATTAGGAACCTCCCCCCTTCTCACACAGTCAGAACCTTGGTAGGAAAGGTGCATTTCCAAATAACTAGCTCCCACTCCCCAATCAAATCTCTTCTGCTCTGTGTGCTTCTGCTCTGTGTTATTTTAAGGTGATGGCTCACGTATATGATTATCTTTCCGTAAACGAACAGCCCTTTGGGGATTACACTCAATTACTTGCTTTTATATTTAACTAAAATATTACAATTATGATAACATCACTATCATAAATATATTCCATTAACTACATATGAAAGGAAGGTAGAAATAATGTTTAAAACACAATGGACAAGAAATCAGAACAATGAAAGGAAGGCACTTTGTCTATGGTCTCCTTTGTGAACCCTGCAATGCAGATTCCTCAGGGTTGGGCGGCATTTCCCTGTAGTATACATGTGCTTACCCAGCCTGCTTGCTGATAGGCATCTTCACTACCTCCTTTCCACAGAACTGAAAAATACAATTCTATGGCGAGCATTATTATGGTCCTAGTTCCTTGTTCACTTCCTTGAAGGAGTAAGTTCCCTAAGGGTGGCTTCTCAGAGTTAGGAGCATGAATGACTGATGTATGTGTTGTCCCTCAGAAAACCCATCAGATAGTGGGAGTTTTTTTCATCATGTTTTGACTCTTGGTCAAACTGATACACTACCAGCATTTCAAGTGAAGTACCCAAGAAGTGGTTTTGAACCTCTCACAGGATACTGATGCCCTTTATATTTCTTCCTTTTCCCCTTTTTTGCTCTTTTTGTCCCTTGCATTCATACAGTGATGTAGAAGTGTTTTATGTGTTAAAATCGTGAGTCTTCTGTCACATATGTTGTGTGTATTGTTTTTCCTTCTGGCATTTGTAACTTTGTTTACAGTGGTTTCTGTTTGTTTTTATATAATATTGTTTTCAATGTGGAAACAACATTCAACTCTCCTCCCCCGCCTCAGTTGTGGGGCTTGAACACAGGGCCTGGGTGCTATTCCCCAGCTTTTTAGCTCAAAGCTAGTGCTCTACCACTTTGAGCTACAGTGCCACTTCTGTTTTTCTGGTGGTTAGTTGGAGATAAGAGTCTCAGGGCCTTCCTGCCCTCCCTGAGCTGGCTTTGAACTGTGATCCTCAGATCTTAGCCTCCTGAGTAGCTAGGATCACAGGTCTGGTGAAACATTTGATTTTTATGCTGCCATGTCTGTCTGGCTTTAACTTTATTAGATTGTTTGGTATCTTTCTTAAAAAAGCTTTATCTTACCAAAATTATAAAAGACTCTTGTATTTTATTCTAGTACTTATGTAATTTCATTCTAATTTATATTTTAATCATTAATTCAGTTAAACTTTTGGAGTAGATTTTTTTTCCTCAAAAATTTGTATTACAAAATTTTTATACAATTTGAAGCATTGTTATCAAATCTTCTAAATTCCATTCAGGTGAGATTATGACAGTTAATCAGTGGAGAATCCTAACAAGATTAAATATTTTTTAATAGGTTAAGCATCTACCTACTGGGTGCAAATATTTCAGTATATGTACTAGTTGAGTTCATGGAAGGGAACTCTTTTAGGAAATAGAATCTTAGTTAGATGCGTGTACACACTTAAAACTATGATGCCAGTCACCTGAGGTGCAATAGAAATGTATAGATGTGGCTCTCTTACAGGGGTGATCAGCTGGTACTAGGAAGGATCTGAACATTCGTATCCTAATACACAATACTACTTTCAGAATAATACATTGGAGATTAAAGTAGAGGTGAGATTTCAAAGCAGAAAATATTACGAATTGCAAAATATTACTAGTGGGGCCTTGGCCAAGGGTGTGGAGCTGCTGCTTCCTCTGAGGAAGACATTAGTTTTTGTCCTTTTCACATGGCAGCCTCTCTTGCTGCTGCCTGTCCTTCAGCTTCAACATTGCTTTGTCAGAAAAGCCCAATTTAAACACACTGGGTAGTAGTAGGAAGCAACAGCATTGCCATGAAGACAAGAGAAAAGATGATAACTTGGAGACGAGTAGCAAGACAGGCACAGAATGTTTACTATGAGGTAAAAAGGCAGAGAAATGAGAATTCAAGTAACTGAGAGGATGGTAACTAATGTCTTAGAGTGTATAGGGATAAGAATGAGCTCAAATAAAGGGTTTTGTTCATGCACATAGAAGACCTACTTGGTCTTCGAGGACAGAAGAAAGTACCAAATGGAAGAAACTGAAACAGTTTAGAAGTGGAAGAATGGAATGAAGTGGGATTGAGACCTTGGTGAAGAGATTTGAAATACCTGTATTAGCAAATTCCATCAAGAGGCAGCAAGATACACATGAAGGCATTGCTGAACCATGACGAGAATTGTGCTTGGAAAAAAGACTTTATAGAGGCCCCATCAGAAATACAGCCATCCAAGGTAGTAGTGGGCTGGTGTTTGTCATGGCAGGAGAGGGTGGAAGCAGTAGAAAGTCATTTAAATGTGGCTGTGAGGTCCATGTAAACTTGGGAGGAAGGCTAATGAAACTAGGAGAGATCCAGTGAACTGTGAGAGTAGAGGAGAGTTGAAAATAAGAGAGTCAACAACTTCAGTAGAACTGGGCACCTGTAATCTTAGCTACTTGGGAGGTTGAGATCTGAGGATTGAGGTTCAAAGCCAGCCTGGGCAAGAAACTCTGTGAGACCCTTGTCTCCAATAAACCACTCAGGAAACTGGAAGTGGTGCTGTGGCTCAAGGGGTAGAGCACTCTCCTTGAGCTGAAGAACTCAGGGACAGCGCCCATGCCCATAGTTCAAGCCCCATGACCGACAAAAAACCCCAGAAAACCAACAACTTCAGTAGGCGGCTGTGTTGCAAGTGAGGAGGTGTTACCAAGAAGTTCTTGCAGATCGCTGAGGAGTCCCGTATGTGCCAATATGAGAAGGCAAAGCGAAGTCCGGGGACTATGGGATGCCTCAGCCAAAAGATTGAGCTTACTGAGTGTGAAAGAAGTAAGTGAATGGGGAAAGAACATTGAGGAAAGAAGGAGCCAGAAGTTATAAATTGGAGCAGTGCAGAGATGGAAAGCAGATGGGGAACTATAACTGAAGTAATTATCACTTTGTGATAAATAAATGTATCACTTAGAAGTCTGCAAGGACAAATTTGGGCCTTTGATTTAAGGAACCAAATTGGGCTTGAGTTGCTTTGTGTAGCATAGCATTCACAGTATCTGCATATAGTGCCTGTACTTATTTTTTTGGGGGTCAGGTCATGGGGCCTGAACTCTGGGCCTGGGTGCTGTCCTTCAGCTTTCAGCTCTTCAGCTCAAGGCTAGCGCTCTACCACTTGAGCCACAGTGCCTCTTCCAGCTTTTTTCTTTTTGCTTATGTGGTGCTGAAGAATCGAACCCAGGGCCTCATGCATGCAGGGCAAGCGCTCTACCATTGAGCCACCTTCCCAGCCCAGTGCCTGTACTTTATTTCCACAACCAGTAATAATACATTGTAAGCTGTGTTCATTAATACTGAATAAGCCTGTTATTTCTGATTGGTTGCTTAACCACATCTGTTTTTCAGGAAGCAGGAAATGTATTCTTTGTATTGCTTGTAATTACTTGTATTCTGTCTTTAACATTTACAGTTAATATATGAAAAGAAATGTGTTGTTCCTTTCTCTTTTAGGAACAAAAAGTACATGAATGAAAACCACTTTTTTAATCTTTATTATCATTATATTTGTAGACTATTCGAAGAAAGAAGAAAGTTCAGATACCCGTAAGTCGTCCTGAACCAGAGCCAGTATCTGATAATGAAGAAGATAGTTATGAGGAGGAGGAAGTGCATGACCCACGAAGTAGCCGAGGTGCCGTGGGTAACAGGAGGAGTGAGAAGAGTTGGGCAAGAGATAGGAGTGCAAGTAGAGAGAGGAGTTTATCTCCACGGTCAGACAGACGATCAGTGGCCTCCAGTCAGCCCGCCAAACCCACCAAAGTCACATTGGTGAAATCCCGAAAAAATGAAGGTATTCTCTATTAACTCTTTTATTACTCTTTTCACATGACGATTCTAGGACTAATTTTAATTTAATTTCAGTGGGAAGTAACAGTGCCCTCTTTTCATGTCTTTGTTTTCTTTGCCTTAAATCCTTTTATGGCAAGCTTCAAGGATTTCCCATTTTCTTGTCTTAAATCATACTTCAAATTAATTGTTTAATGGTTGGTTTGCATTTGTTGTGAAGAACTATATACAAAGTATGCTAATGCGGAGCTGGTGAAGGTGGCTCACCTGTAATCCTAGCAACTCAGGAGGCTGAGATCTGAGGATTGCGGTTCAAAGCCAGCCCTGGCAGGAAAGTCCGTGAGACTCTTATCTCAAATAAACCACTAGAAAACCGGAAGTGGTGCTGTGACTCAAGCAGTAGAGCACTTGCCTTGAGCTGAAGAGCGCAGGACAGCACCCCGGCCCAGAGTTCAAGCCCCACGACCAAAATAACCCAAAAAGTATGCTAATGTGATATTATACCTCACCAAAGTACAGTTCAGTGTTTTTATAGTTGTGTGAACAGTGGAGTGGGGTAGGCTGTTTTCTAAATGGAGGGATTGAAGAGAAGGAGCTAATTCATTATGTGCTTTTCTCCAAAATACAATACTTCATGTGATGCTGTGGCTCAAGTGGTAGAGCAATACCCTTGAGCACAAAGAGGCCCAGGGACAGGGCCCAGGCCCTGAGTTCAAGCCCCAGGACTTAGGGTGGAGGAGGAATATATATATATAGTACTTCAACATTTTTAAACTGGCCCTACTATTTTTCTCACTCATCAAATTTAACTTTTTAATGCATGACTGATCATTTTTGATTGAAAAGATGAATTCAGAGTACTGTGAAGGCTCACTCACACACCTGTAGCTTCTCTCCTTCCTACAGAAGACTTCCCGTGAACTGTGTACATGAGCTGTTTTTACTTTACTCACTGCTCACTCTTTAAATCCTGCTGGCCTGGTGTCTTCCTGTCCCTACACTAAGACTAGTAGAGACATTCACTTTCCATGTTACCGTTACTTTTTTTTAGTAAATTTCGCGTATTTAACCACTCCCAACTTTTAAAATAATGTTTTCCTTCCATGTCTGTATTATTATATATTATTATTATATGTATTATTATATCCTTCTGGGTCCCTCACTTCCCTTGCTTTGCAAGCTCATTCTCATGTTACTCTTTCTCTGTAGGGTTCCTCCCTCCATCGCCCCTCCCCGCTCCAAACCCATTGTGGGGGCTTGAACTTAGGGCCTGGGTGTACTGTCCCTGAACTCTTACTCAAGGCTAGTGCTTACCACTTGGAGCCATGGTGTCACTTCCACTCTGGAGGTTTCTGTCCCAGAATGTCTCCTAGTACTGAATATGATGTCTTTAGGCAATTTGGTCTTGTTACCTCAGGTCACTGCTGATGTTGGCAGTACTTGTCTGGCCTGGATCTGTGCTATCATGCATATTCATTGAAATGTCCCTTCAGGACCTCTCAAATCAACACGTCGCATATAAAATGCTGGTTTTTCCATTTATAATGAAGTATTCAAAGAAATATATTTCATTCTCTCCTGTGTCTCCAGCCAGGCACAGATGACATAGTAGTTCTTGACATCTCTTCCTGTGCATAGTAATAGAGCCTAACTTTCTAAATACCACCCCCTTCTTTCTTTCCCTTCTGCTACTTCCTTTTCCCAGGCTGCCACCATGTTTTAAGTGGACTCTGATCTCATGACTGGTTTCTGGATAGCTTTCAGTGGGTTCTGTAAAACTCTTCACTCAAGTTTTTTCTTTTTTCTTTTTGGTCCCTTTCTCTTTATTTTCGTTGCCAGCCACACTGGACTTAGACCTCTTCATACATGCTTTCTTTCATACGTTCTGGTGCATTTGTTTTGAACAGTCTGTCAACATCTTCAGCCTTCTACATACAAAGACACTTTTCAGGTTTCATTTTAGTATTTATTAGGCTTTAGCTTTAGTGTTTTGTTTTTCTTCTCAAGGAGGCTTTGTCTGACAACCTATAGATGTAGATCCTTGTATTCCCATTATTTCAACTCCTTGTTGTACTTAGAATTGCCATAACATTTTCCCTCTACTAGTTTGTCAGAGTGCAGGGATTTTCTCATCTGCAGCTTTATTCATAATGCCTGGTGTATAGTTATTATATACCCAAGGAAATGCTTGGAATGAATGAATAAATGCATGAGAATATTCGGGCCCATCTGTGCAGTGGTCATTTGTAAGCTTTTAATCTTAAATAAGAACAGTCTTTTAATCCTACGTTCTTCCAATATAGAGAGCATTTCCAAAGGACACAGGATTCCCTGCCTAGATTTACTCAAAGTCTGTCCTGCTCATGAGTGCTGCCTATTTACTTTAAGTTAAACTGTAACTATGATAGAACTTTGAGATGCTTGAGAAGCAAGCATGTTAACCTATCTCAGATTAAAAACAATCTCTTCTGGTTTTTTAGGGGATTTTTTTGTTTTGTTGTTGTTTTTTAAAATGCAGTGAGACTTGAGTTCTTTCTCTCCTTACAAAACTAAAAGCATGCTTTTATTTCTCATACTGGTGGTTGTAGTTGTTGGCCTTCTTTTGTTCTCTTCTGTTTTGTTTGAGAGAGAGTCTTGCTATGTAGCCCAGGCTGACCTCTAACTTAGAATTCTCCTGCCTCAGTCTCCTGAGTGCTGAGATTCCGTATATCCTTTATCACAACCAACTTTGGTTCTTGATTTTTGAAAAATGTGTTTTCCATAGTTGTGAGAGAACTAGGGAAGTTCTCTGGACAGTGTAACTTTCTTAATTCTCACCATTCCCTCAGCACAGGTACAATTAGTATTGCCTCCCTCTTGAATTCTTTGTTGGTTGCATAAAGGAAACAGAATCAGCATTTTACCCTTCGCTCACATCTGCCTGGCTGGTGGTAAGCATCGCAGTAGTACACTGCAGTGTGTACCGGTGCTCTGAATGCGTTTCCCATGTCAGGGAGGATCAAAAATACTTTTGGTCTGGGAGCCAGAAGTACATGTTTGACAACAGTTATCAGTAAAATCACAAAACTTTCCAAAGTCTTTCAAACAGCAAGTAGTTTACTATTTTAACATGGTATTCTTGTAACATTCAGAGAAGCTAGTGTGTCAGTATATGGTGAGAAAGGAATGATTTTCTCTTCAGGGCTTTCTCTTTCAGTAGAACACTAACATTCTGCTTTCATATTGGCATTTTATGCTTTTTGATGATTAAATGAAGTGTTTTATTTTTAAGGTGGCTAAAAATAGTTTAACATCTTTGTGCTTTAAACCTTTATATAATAATTATTAGTATTACACTTCACAATCTACTTAAATATCTTGGAATTTTTCACTGAAGACATTTGAATATGTTATTTCAGAATATGGTCTCCGATTGGCCAGCCATATATTTGTAAAGGAAATTTCACAAGACAGTTTGGCAGCGAGAGATGGCAATATCCAAGAAGGCGATGTTGTATTGAAGGTATAGTCATATGCTTCATTATAATGAACTGAAATAGAAAACAAATTCTAGAATTAACATATAACCTCCACTTATGTTTGAAGCGGTTTGGCCAGAGAAGTAAAACTGATTGTTTGGGGCATAGGTGCCTAAATTACTAAATTACCTTTATCCATTATTACATGTCAACAGTGATACTTTAGGGGTGTGGAGTTATTCTGAGATATGAATTGCTGCAAATATAAATCATGCATCAGTAGCAGCCACTTTGTAGGTAAATAGGCCTGTCCTTACATACTACATATTAAATATCTTCGACAACTTTTCTAGGTAGTTTTAAATATTTTATTAGCTTACTAACAAGCGGTAGAATGGGACAAGCTTTAAGGGAGGAGTTTTGGAGTTACTAATTTGGTTTTATCTGACAGAACACAGTATAGTAAAGATTTTACTGTTTCAGGAAAGTAGAATACTTTGGTGATTTAGGAAGAAGTATAAAGGGAATCTGCTGGTTCTTGTGAACCAGGAAATAGTTGGGCTATTCCTGTTTATAACAGATCAGAGGGCTATCATTTATACGTTGTCATTTACCTTTCAACTTACAGTTTCTTTCCTTTTGCAGATAAATGGTACTGTGACAGAAAATATGTCATTGACAGATGCAAAGACATTGATAGAAAGGTCTAAGGGCAAGTTAAAAATGGTAGTTCAGAGAGATGACCGGGCTACCCTATTGAACGTCCCTGATCTTTCTGACAGTATTCATTCTGCTAATGCCTCTGAGAGAGACGGTGAGTATGAGTCTGTTCAGAGGTTCCCACAATTTATTTCTTAAAGTACTAGAAAGATTTGACATGTCAGAGTGAAAGATAGACATTTTCAAAATATAAAAACTTTTAGACTGCCAGGCATATTGGCTTGTATCTGTAATCCTAGCTACTTCAGAAGTAGAGATAAGAGGATTGTGATTTGAGATGTGTTTGGGCAGAAAGGTTAGTTAGACCTTATCCAAGTGTGGTAGTACATGCCTGTAATTCAGCTACCTGGGAAGTATAGGTATAAGGATGGGCTACTTGGGTAAAAAGTGTGAGGCTCTGTCTGAAAAGTAATTAAAGCATGCAGGGCTGGAGGTATGGCTTAAGTAGTAGCACGCTTGCCTAACAAGTTCAAGGCAGCTCACAACTGTTGACTTGATTACTGGCTGATGAAAACAATGCTTAAATCTGTCATTTTTCATGAAATTATGCTTAGTAGCTATGTGTAATGTCTCTGGTATTCCTTAATGATTTCACGAGAAAATAACATCTTTTTATTTAACAGACATTTCAGAAATTCAGTCACTAGCATCCGATCATTCTGGTCGCTCACATGACAGACCTCCTCGCCGTAGCCGGTCACGCTCTCCTGACCAGCGATCAGAGCCCTCTGATCATTCCAGACACTCTCCTCAGCAGCCCAGCAGTGGCAGGTAATCATACCCTATCATTTAGAATAAAATGCTTCTATTTGCTTGGTACTTGATATGGTTATCTTTGTACAGTATATGTGCATACCACATGTACACCTTATATATAATTTTGTTCTTTAATTTCTTTTGCTGGTACCAGGATTTGAATTCAAAATGTTGTATTCTCAGCTGGCTCTTTACCAGTTGAGCCATACCCCCAACTGGGCTTTTGCTGTTTTTTTGTTTGTTTGTTTGTTTTTGTTTTGTTTTTTGTTAAACGTCTGGATTTTATTCAAGGATACTCATGAAGGTTTAGAAAATAAAGGTTATAGAACCTGGAGGGTTGCTGGTTATTTTGGAGAAGAAGCCTAGCAGACCTTTCTGCCTTGGTTGGCTTTAAATCTTGGTCTTCCAGATCTCAGCCTCCTAGGTAGCTGCTTTTCCAGGTATGAGCCACTGGCGCCTGGCACACCTTAGGCTTCTGAGTTGTTTTGTGTATTTTAGAATCTGTTATTGCCTACTAAGAATGATAAATAGCATCTTTTCCATTGTGTTAGAGGTAATAAAGTGCAGAGATTTATTTGGGCTTTGGAGCCAGACTCCCTGGTTCCTAGTCCCAGAGTTGCCACCAGAAGTAAAATAGGCAGAGCATATATTAATTACATTATGGTAGTTAATAATAGTGGTAAGTTAGTTTCAAAATGGGCTTCTAAATCTGGAATGCAGCTATGTCAGTGTTACCAGGAAGATTAAATGTTTGAGTGAGACATTTCCATCCAAAATACAGGTGTTGAGTCATGTTAAGATAATTGGGATCAAAGACTCCTTACTGTAGAGTTCACTTAATTATGGCAGAATTGTTCAGGAGTAAGTTTTAATATGTATGCACAGAAGATATACATGTGCTTAAATAGGAGACTTAACAGAAGTCTCGGTAGAAGACCTATAGCAGAAGTCTTTAAAACTCTTGGCTTTAAAAGATTGTTTTCTTATATATCTTCTATTACCATTCATAATTGTTTTCTTTGAGAAATAATTATTAGAGAACTGTAAGCATTTTATTTTAGTTACTGTCAATATTGCTTAGTTTCCTCTGGAACCTACATTTAGCATACCCAGTAGGTCAAAAGGCATTGCTGAAACATTCTAATATATCATTTGAATACTTTTTTTAAAAAATCATTTCACCTGTGGAAATTTTTCATTTTTTTGATTGGTGAATTTCAGATTTAGTAACTAACTAATTAGTTCTAATCTGATTTTAGCCCTTTGTCCATAACATTGCTCAACATCCACTAAAGACATAGAAATGTAAAAATTTCACTTCATCACTTAAATTATGCACATTATATGTCCTCTTGGCTTGGGAGGACAACCCTAACTTTTACCTTGGGTTTTAGGTGACATTTTCACAGAATTATGGGTAGAGAAACACTTGGCAGATAATGTAACCATTTCAACACAATGATCATAATGTAATACTTCACCGTGTTAACTGAGCTGCTAGTGTGCATACAGGAAGAATTTTTTCATGCTTTTTTTTTTTTTAAGACTGGGCTCAAAGTTGTTTTTCATTGCAAAAAACTATTTGTAATGTCTTGGAAAAACGTGTTATTTTGTTCTATACTGTAGCTACAGGTCTGCATTGCTTAACAACATAGCCACTAGTCATGTGTGACAGTTGAGCATTTAAGAATCCAAATTGAATATGTAAGAGGGGGACACAGAAATGGAGAGACAGGGTGAACAAGTGCAGCAGTGGTACTCATTAGACACCATTGGAAATGAATTCTACAACTAGTAGGAGGGGAAAAAAGGGAGGGAAAACCTGGGAAGGAGCAAAGGAAGATGTGATGTTGTCCAAAAAAAAAATGTAATTACCTAATTTATGAAATGGTAACTCCTCTGTATAACACCTTAATAAATTTTTTTAAGTTCAAATTGAGGTGGATTCTAATTGAGATGGCATTAGATTTTGAGGACAGAACAAAAGAATGTAACTTCATTAGTTATTTATATTGACTACAATATGAAATGATTTAGATATGCTAGATTAAAATTTATTGATTCCTTCTCATCTTAACATGGGTACAAGAAAATTTTAAGTAATGTTAACTGCTCACTGTGTACCTGTGTTGAGTAAGGCTATGCCGCAGTCTCATGTATTATTGAATGATACCTCCATCTTTTGGTTGGTAATGGGAATGCACAGAAAGGAACAATAATTTTTCCAATGCCAGGCCCATAATAAACTTTGCTACTATGACTGTATTTTTCCATTTCATTTTTGTTATATAGATACGTAACCTGCTTACATAGTTTTGTTCTTAAACGATTCTACTTTTAAGTGCTAAGCAATTAACAAATTTTACAATATTTTGTCAGAACTGATCCATATTGAAGTTGTCTTCCCTTCTTCTGCCCTGTTCTTGCACAAGTGACTTTCAGAATCTCTTTAAGCTTTTTTGTTTTCTATTTTAATACTATGTAGTCTCCGGAGCAGAGAAGAGGAGAGAATTCTTAAACCTGGAGCTGTTTCAACTCCAGTAAAGCATGTAAATGATCACACACCCAAAGCAGTGGAAGAAGTTACAGTTGAAAGAAATGAAAAGCAAACACCTACTCTACCAGGTAAGCGTAACAAAATACCAAGTGCAGAAATGTTTGTAATCCAGTTCTAGTAATTATCAGAACTCAAAGATTTCAAAGATGAAAATAGTACTACCCATATGTACATTTTTTTGCATATATAAACTTTGAATGTTTTCCTTATCGATAGAAGGCTGCTTATCAGTAACCTTCCATGAATGCTCTTATTTTTTTCTAACAAAATATTTGGTGAACAGCCACCTGGAGTAAGGCTCCTTTCCTGTATTGATTATCCTTAATAAAGACAAACTAATTTTTAGAGGACTGGAATCAGTAGAACATTTGCCTAGCAGACACAGGCCCTGTGTTCAGTACCTAGCATTCCAAAAAGAAAAGGAGAAATGTTAAGTTGGCTTAAAAAATTTAAAAAGTTTTACTGATTAGTACTGTTTTTATAAAAATTTTATGATGTATACTTTGTAAACTCTATTTGGAGGCTCTAGACTAAGAATTTGCCAAGGTCTAAAATCAGTGGCCCCAAAGACCTAGAGACTGTTTCTAATGTGTCACACTTCCTTCTCTCTTATCTGTCTTGCTCTGCTTGGTCAGTAGAAGAAATATGGATTCCTAAAAACAAATTTATTATGATGCAGAATAATGGCTACATTGTTAGTTTCTGCTTTTGGTGATACCAGATTTGAACCTCAGAGCTTCACATTTGATAGGTGCTCTACCACTTGAGCCACACTAGCTCTCTGGTCTTTACTTTTGTTATTTTTCTTATTGAGTCTCACTTTTGGCTGGGACTGTCCTCACCACTTTCCTCCTGTTCTGCTTTCCACATAACTAGAATAACAGCACAATTGCACCCAACTTTTGTATCGGTTGAGTTGAGGTCTTGTGAACATTTTGCCCAGACTGGCCTCAAACCACAATCTTCCTGATCCCAGCCTCCCAAGTCACTTGGATTATAGATGTGAGCCAGTGCACATTGCTTACATTAACAGTCTTAGCAAAGAAAAGTTCGGATTCTGTCTTACTCTGTTTTCCTTTTGTGGAGAACATCGAGTTTTCAGATCCGAATAGCTTGGAGCTATAGGAAGCACATGGGACCCTATGACATGCGTACTGTTAACAAAGACTGCAGAATTTATAACTGTGACAAGTACTCTGTGTCCTCTGGTATATATACTCCTTATCTCTTTGTTTGCTGATGAATCATACTTGTGTTTGTATAATTGTATTTGTTTTTCACTAGTTTCTAGTATTGTTTTTATTAAATGATTCCTGTATGGTTTAAATTTCCTTTCACTTAGAACCAAAGCCTGTATATGCCCAAGTTGGACAACCAGATGTGGATTTACCTGTCAGTCCTGCTGATGGTGTCCTGCCTAATTCAACCCATGAAGATGGCATTCTTCGGTATTGTAGCTTTCAAATTGTACTGTCCTCTTTGTCTATTAGTAAACATTTTTCAGAGGAAGAATTTAATTAGAATAAAAGTAGTATTGCATATACTTTAAAAAAAATCAGGTCATCTAAAAAATATTCTAAGGGCTTTCTCTTATTTAGCAGGTTTTTATGTTAGGGTCAGATTATAGAGAAAGGGATTTTTTTGGATGATTTCTTATTCTCTATCTAAATTTTAGGTCAGTATAAAATGTTTTCTATTCAAACATCATAATTTCCACAAACATTTTATGTGCCCTAGCATTAAACAAATAGGCAAATATATAAATAAATATTTCCCAATTTCAGAACTTTTTTTTTTTTTAGTTGTTTGGTTTAGTAATTTGAGTAGTTGTAATTTAAGAGAAAAAAAGACTTTAAAAAATACTTTATGTTTGGAATGATGAGCCTTTTTGGTCAGGAATGTACAGAAGGGAAAGTAAAGGGTAATTTGTAATTAAAATATTTTTGCTTAACCAATGTCTTCTAAGACATCTTTTTAGTGTTTGAGGATGTCACCGAGTTTCAGCACTACTTTAGAGGGACTCTGCATGTGTCTAGTTTTTCAATTCTCTTTCTAACAAGGATGAAGCAGGGATTAGATATTTCCAAGTGACTGTAAGATACCTATTTTAAAATTCAGAGTATTCCAATGTAAGTGAACTACCTGTGACCTGCCAGGAGCCTGCCAGCTGCAGAGTTGAAAACCGCTGTCAAAGGAAAAGAGAGATTATAGTGCATCGGGGCCTGGCTCTGACTTTCCAGTAGTAGTAGAACGAGCTACTTTTGTGCTGCAGTGTCTACTTCTATAAGATGACACTTTTTGTGATGGCATGAATTGTTATGGGGAAAAAAATGAAAGCTTTATTAAAACCACTGGGAATGCTTCATACATACATGTCATGTCCAGGAATCTTACTTGAGAGTTGAGAAAGTACTGTTTTATAAAAAAAATTATAAATTGAGTTACATAAAGCAGTGCTTCCATGTCAAATTTAAATAATTCTAACACTTTGTTTTTCAGAAGTTAACAGTGCTGTTAATTATAGTTATAATGCTGTTTTATTTGATTAGTAGTATGTAGAATGTTTTATTCTGAATATAGTTTTTACTATAGCAGCTTGCTGTAACTTTTCAAGTTTCTACTAATTGTTTCAAATGAAATGTCTGTTTTTACAGGCCCAGCATGAAATTGGTAAAATTCAGAAAAGGAGATAGTGTGGGTTTGCGGCTAGCTGGTGGCAATGATGTTGGGATATTTGTAGCTGGTGTTCTAGAAGATAGTCCTGCAGCAAAAGAAGGCTTAGAAGAAGGCGATCAAATCCTCAGGGTACGTCAGTATATCAAATTCACACGGATCTCTAGAAGAGGACACCAGACCACACCAAATCTAGTGTTATAATTAGATTGTAATCTGTGTTCAGGCTCTTGAGCAAGTTAAGCTTTCAGACAGAGTATCAGGTCTGACTTGTATTAGATAGGTCACTTCTCAGTCTTATATTTGCTCTTATTCACTGCCATGTTGTGTTACTGTGTGGTATGATGTTAGAACCTACAAGCAACAAGTGCCAGATTCCTGTAGTACTGAGATTTTTTTTAATGTTCAGTTCAACATACAGACTGGCAAGATGCCCCAAATCTCAGCTTGCCAGATAGCAACATGAGGCATTCTTCCTCCATGGGAGTGATCTTTGTAGTAGTTGCCACACAACCTCTGGAACTTTCTTTACCCCAGATAATGGCTCAGATACAATGTGGGGACACTTAACACATGCACATATGAAACCACCCTGGTTCTGTAGCTGCACACTTCACAAGAAACTGGATCACTCAAAAAAAGCCTGGGAAGCCTGGGCTAGGTAGGGGTCTCTCAGTGATGCCTTTCCTTTTCCCCTTTTTTCCCTGTCCAAGGGAACTCTGTTCCTCTTTACTTCATTTTACCCCGAACAGGGTTTTCTAGGAATGATACTATTTTTATCTGCCTCTCACATCTCATTTTAGAATATCCAGATCTCCATTTGATTTCTGTAGATCAACTGTATCCCATCTTAATTAAAAAATTAAGTCAGTCATGAGAATTCCCTCATTCTCTCTATTTTGCTACCTCAAAGTGTCGCTGCTGCCTCTGTTCTGGTTTGTCTGCTTTCACAGGACCTCCTGTCTGTATGAATTCAATCTCCTGTCTACTCTAGAAACTCACACCTTCGTTCCTTCTCTCCCTTCCTCCTCTCTTGCTCTTCATCTGTTGTCCACTTTCTGTTGTCCTGTTTCTCTGCTTCGTTATTTAACTTATTCAAGGGATGGTTGAATCCCTTTCCTTCCAGTCACTCTGGTCATAGGTTTCATCTTAACCACTGTCATCATTGATGAGTGCAACCTCAGCTGTCATCATACATCATGTTGTACATCCTTCTTGAAGACTGTTCTTCCTTATATTCACTATCTGTGTTGTAAGGGCTGGAGGCATTGCTCAAGTGGGGAGGCACCAGGGCCCTAGTTCAAAACCCACTAAAAGTCTAGTACTAGTAAAAGTGAAAATGAATAAGTGTTCCTATAAAAGAGAGTTGTTTGGCTTTTGATTTTGTCTTTTTAATGTGGGAAATTTCCAAAAGGCAGAAAGAAGGATTAACCCTCCATCCCCTACCCCATGGTGACATTTTGAGAGATTTCATTTTGGTACCTTGGAATTTATGATACAAGTAAATTGCAAGTAAATAATGAGTTGCCTACTTACGGAGTTGCTGTTACAGGATCACCACAATGCACTCTATCATTTTCACATCCTTTTTTCTTTTGATTTCTTTTGTAGCAACTAGTAAAAAGTAGGGCTGTATTGGAAATTCATAGAATTAATAAGATTTGAAACCAAGAGAGTTCACAATAATAAAAGTTGTCCTTTTTGGTCCAAATTAGTTAAATTTTACAATAGATGATCTTTAGTTCAGGATACATTGTCACTAAATTCACATCTTTATTTACTTGGTTTCTGCTTCTTTAAAATTAAAGCTTATTTATTTTCTCCAAAACAAAATAAGTTTTTGGGGGCCTGGGAATGTGGCTTAATGGTAGAATGCTTGCCTACCATGCATGAAATTCTGCAGTACCACATAAATAAAAGAAGCTGGAAGTGACGCGGTGGCTCAAGTGGTAGAGTACTAGCTCCGAGCAAAAGAAGCTCAGAGACAGTCCACAGGCCCTGAGTTCAGGCCCCATGACTTGCCAAAAAAAAACCTAAGTTTTTTTTTTCCTTTTAAAAGTGTAATATTTTCAAACTAGGTAGACTCTGAAATGTACTTACATTCTTAAAGCAGTCAAGGTTCATGTATGGACTCTTACTTTAATAGGTAAACAATGTAGATTTCACCAATATCATACGAGAAGAAGCTGTTCTTTTCCTCCTTGACCTCCCTAAAGGTGAAGAAGTGACCATATTGGCTCAAAAGAAGAAGGATGGTAAGATATGCTCAGAGAATGGAGAAAGTAAACTGGTAGGAATTTGGAGGACTTTTATAGAGATCAAGTTTTTTAAAGTAAATTGGAGCTGACTATGGTAGTACAAGCCTCTAATGCCAGCACTCAGGAGCGTAGGGCTTGCTGGGGAGCATAGCAAAAGAAATAAAGAAAGAAATCAGTGATAATTAAATCTGTTGCTTTCTGAGCTAATTTTATTTAAGTTTTTTTAGAAGCACACAGTCTTGGCCATCAGCACAGCACATTGATAGGCCCAGTATTTATGGCATTTTAATTCAAGTAAAATACCAGTGAACCCTTTACAAAAGTGATGAAAAAAATTACCTATCAGAACTATAGAAAACACATAACCTTTCCAAATTTTACTCTGACGTTTTCTGAGCAATGCACTCAGGTGGTTGTGCTACAATACATACATTTTATTACTGAGAAGGAGGTTTTCCAGCCTTAGCACTATTGACATTTTAGCTCAGGTAAATCTGTCTGAAGGGCTTCTTTGTGCATTGGGTGTTTCAGAACATCCTGAGCCTCTCTCACTATAGGAGATGTTTTTAGTGTACTTTTCTGCCCCTTCAACTTACAGTTGAAACATTCAGCGTGCCTACACATGCTGGCAAGAGTGTCTGGGGAGTGGAGGGGAGCACAGTCACCCATGTGGGAAAAACTGACTTACAATATGGAATAAGGAAGTGGTGCTGTGGCTCAAGTGGTAGAGCGCTAGGCTTGACACAAAGAGGCTCAAGGACAATGCCCAGGCCCTGGGTTCCAGCCTCACAACAACAACAAAAGAACATTTAGTCTCATTTCAGGCTGGGAACATGGCTCAGTGGTAGAGTGCTTGCCTTGTATGCATGAGGCCCTGGATTTGATTCCTCAGCACCACATAAGCAGAAAAAGCCGGAAGTGGCACTATGGCTCAAGCAGTAGAGCACTAGCCTTGAGCTGAAGGGCTGAGGGACAGTGCCCAGGCCCAGAGTTCAGGCCCATGACCACCCCCCCCCCAAAAAAAATGGAATAAATAGAAATGATATGAATAGAAAGTAGACCTGCAGCATTAGTGGTGCTTCTGAGTATTGAACTCAGGGCCTTGGGCTTGCTAGGAGGCACTTGATCCTTTGAGCCAGGCCTCCAGCCCAGGTATATGACTTTGTGCAAATTACTTTGATATGGTTCTGCATCATTTTTCTTAAGTGCATAATGAGATGCCAAGTGACCATTTCATGAGGCATGGTGAATGTGATCGATGGGAAGAAGTCCTTGCATAACACCTGATGAAGCAAAAGCTGGGCATTTGCTGGATCGGGGTGTTTTCATAATGTCTTGTTGTGGATCGATTATTTACCCACTATGTATTGATAATTCGTTTATTTTGATTTCTTTTAGTTTATCGCCGAATTGTGGAATCAGATGTAGGAGATTCTTTCTATATTAGAACCCATTTTGAATATGAAAAGGAATCTCCCTATGGACTTAGTTTTAACAAAGGAGAGGTGTTCCGTGTCGTGGATACCTTGTACAATGGAAAACTTGGCTCATGGCTTGCTATTCGAATTGGCAAAAATCATAAGGAGGTAGAACGAGGCATCATTCCTAATAAGAACAGGTATGGATTGAATAACTGATAGGAAACTGCAATCTCCTTGGGGAGAATTTGGTAGTAGAGAGTTACTTTTCATTGTATTAAACTGAAGCCTGACTGACTTAGTTGTATAAACCCCTATTATTTTATTGTAATGTTGAATTTTAAACCGCATGTGAACTTCCACACAGTATTTTGACATTTCATCTTATTGTGGTTCTTTGTCCATATTGGGTTTTAAATAATTTTTAAAAATATTTATCCTTGGGGCTGGGAAGGTGGCTCAGTGGTAGAGCACTTGCCTTGCATGCCTGAGGCCCTGGATTCGATTCTTCAGCACCACATAAGCAAAAAGAAAAAAAGCCAGAAGTGGTGCTGTGGCTCAAGTGGTAGAGTGCTTGCCTTGAGCTGAAGAGCTGAGGGACAGCACCCAGGCCCAGAGTTCAGGCCCCA